GGAATTCAATCCAGTTTCCACATGTGGGTAGCAAGGACTCAAATACTGGATCCAATATCAACCTTCTTCTGTTGTGTGCATTGTCAGAAAGCTGGATTAGAAGAAGAGCCAGAACTCAAAACCAGGCACTCATACTGGATGAAGATGCCCCAACAAGTAGCATTTTAACTGCCATGCCAAATACCTGTTTCTGTTTTGTTATTATAATTATTTGAATTTTAGAGCTCAAGTTTGGTGCCAACAGAATGGTTGGGTCTAAGGTAGTATTGATTGGGTTGGTCAGGAAGCCCCAGCCAGGAACTTTGTGCTGCTGCTGCTCAGCCAGTTCAGCATGCTGTTGCTTTGGTGTTTCATTCTCCTTTACAGGAGAACTAAGCAGCTGTGTGGTAATTCACAGGGGCCAGCAACTCGGGCTTGGTAGAGATCTGTATTCTGATTTGGCCATATTCTGTGGCCAAATCATTCTTCAGTCATTGGTTTTCTGGTCCTTGGTCTCCTTGGCTGTGCTTTAGTTACCAGGATGCTCTGTTGCTAGGTGACTCATTCCATAAAACAGAGGTGGCTGCATTTCTGTCTCCTCCTGGACGGAGGCTGTATTTAATGGCATGTGGACAGCACTGGGGAACTACTTGCCAACTGCTGCAAATGTGTTACCTTCATTTTGATTCTAATCCTAGAAGGTGCTTTTGTTTCTTCCTATAGTTTGTAAATACATAAACTGAGCCATAAATTTGAGCAACTTTACCATGAACACTGGGGATGTTAGGTGGCTGGAGTTGGGTTCAAATGCAGATATCGATTCAGAATGTCCCTCTGCTGCCATTAGTGTGCTTCCCTGTTCACTAGAAGACAGCATGCAATGGTAGAAAATGGCAAGGAACTTTGCAACCACCAGGCTTGCTGCTGACCACGTAACGTCTGATGGGTGATATTTCCCTTGTCAGCCTCAGTTTCTGTGCCTGGATCTCAGTAACCCTGACGGACTGGCAATATGAAGATGTTGAAGGAAAATCACATACAGGAAAATGTTTTTGCACATGTAGGAGCTCATTAGTGGAAACTGTTACTATTTTAATATTTCTGTGTTGATACATGACTGCCTTTATCGCCCCAAACAGTTTTATGTCTGTTAGCAGTTAGTTAGCAAGTTGCTCAAGTGGCCTGTGTGAGTAATAATCTGTTGAATTTAATGAACTGTGTCTAGGTCCTTTGGGTAGATTATCTACTTCCCCCCTGATGAGAAAACTTTCCCATGATTCTCTTTGGGTCTTTTGGGAGAAGGTTACCAGTGAGGCTGTGTCTCACATGAAACGCCAGGGTCAGATGGAGTGAAGGATCCGGCTCAGCCTTGCCTGCTGGACACCCTTTCTCATTCTGGTGGGATATTTAGTGACTCACTGTGATTGTTTGCAGATGTCCTCCTGATCCTCAAATCTCTCAGTTGGTAATAACCTTTTAACTGTTTGGAACGCTTCAATACCCCTGAGAGTGCACGCTCCTGTGGATACTATGGGATGGCGTAGAAAGCACTTCAGAGCCTGAAGACTGATTTTGGCCTTTGGAAACCCCTATGTTGGAAATATGCTAAACTGCATTGTGTTTACTTACATATTTTCAAATTGTCCCGTTCTTTTGATCCCCGTGTCAGAGAAGACTGCAGCAGTAGGTAGTATCGTGTTGCCATCTGAAGTTGCTCTCAACTGTCTTGAATTTCTTGCCTTCTGTATACCATGTGGTATTTGCTGTGCATTCAGAAATCCCAAAGGGTTATTTTATGCCCTGTATTCCACTTCTGTCCATAAATTTGACTCGCACAGTGCAGTCAGCGAAACTACCATTTGGTCAAGCTTGATCAACCCTCCCAGCCTCTCCACAAGTCATTGTCCAAGTTACCCAGGATGGTGACTATCTTGGCCTCTCCACAGTCATTTCCCAGTTTACCCAGGGTGGTGGCTGTTTTGGTTTTTGCACCATGCAAAAATAGGACTTGGACCTTTTTTAAAAAAGATTTATTTTAACTTGAAAGGCAAAGTTATAAAGAGCAGGGGAGACAGAGAGGTCTTCCAATCCCTGGTTCACTCCCCAAATGGCCACAGTGGCCAGAGCTGAGGCTATCCAAAGCTGGGAGCCAGGAGCCTCCTCTGCATTTCCCACATGGGTGCAGGGTACCAAGGACTTGGGCCATGCTCCACTGCTTTCCCAGTTCATTGGCAGGGAGTTATATTGGACATGGGACAACTGGGACACAAATACCAGCACCACAGGTACAGAATTAGCTCACTACGCCATGGTGCCAGCCCCTGAAGTCAGGCTTTCTCTCACTAGCCTTAAACACAGATTGATTCTTGTTAACTCTGTATTGCACAAGTTCTTGCATTGACCTAGATATGACAAGTGTCAGTTTGATGTGCTTCAGATTTGAGAGCCAACATTTAGAGTGGTTTTTGTTTTCTTAGAAATTTCCTTAACTGTCATAGTTGTGTAGGAAGGAACAGTTATAAAGGTGTAAGTAATTATGATACTCTAATGATACACATATCTTAAAGAGCTTATTTCTTTTGAGAGTTACAGAGAGAGAAGAGAAAGACAGAAACTTTTCATCTGCTAGTTCACTTCCCTTGTGGCTTCAAAAACCAAGGCTAGGCTATGTCAGAGCCAGGCGCTGGGACCAGCATGAAGGTCTGCTGGCTGGGTGAGCCCTGGTTCTTGGGCCAGCTTCTACCTTTCCTAGGTATTTAGCAGCAAGATGGATTGAAAGTGTAGCAGTCAGGACTCAACCTGGTGCTTATGTGGGAGGCTAGTGACACAGGCAACGGCTTTACCTCCTGTTCCTCATCAGCAGCCACTGCTTTTCCTAAATTTCTAATCTTCCTTCTGCACTGTCCTGCCCCCTTCTAGAATTTCATCCTCAGCTGTAGTTGCTTCAGGCAGGTCCAATGATAAGTATTGTCTTTGCATCATCTCTCAGGAGAGAATATTAATTAGTGTAGTTATTTACATAAATTCTCATCACACTGTGTTGAGCACTCACTTACCCAAGTATTGAGCATTCAGTTTCTATTGCCTTTTGATAATCTGCCCACTGGGAGGAGTGTTCAGAAAGTTCGTGGAAAATGCAAGTTATGAAAAATGTATGCCTGGATTTCAAAAAGACTCTTTTGCCCTGAAATAAACCTCTCTCACTTCCCTTTCTCCATGAAGTTCATGAAGGACCCTCATGCTACATTGAGTAAACTTAATTTCAGAGAAGGCATATTATTTCCTCAAAGCTATACTCCAGTTACAATCAGCAGTTTTATTGATTACTTATTGTATACCAAACAATGCATTAAATGAATTTTGTAGGCCATCTTATTTAACCTCATACACTTTAACATTATTGTCAATCCAAGGAAGCAAGCCAGTGTTTGAGATGTTTGTTACTAAGATCACATGGCAGGTAAGAGAAACACCAGTTTTAAAAGCAAGTAGAATTTCTGACACTCGGGCCCACACTCCTCACAATGTGGCATTGCTCCCTTGTTACTGTAGCATGTGAAAGCTGCAAACCGGAGCCCGGTTCTCATAGGGTCTGGCTTATACACTGCTAGTATTTGTTTTCAGGGAATGAAATCATCCATTGAAGAGACGCCTGCACCCCCTTGTTTATTGCAGCACTATTAACAGTAGCCAAGCAGGAGAAACCACCTAAGGGTCCAAGTGTCCATCCACTGCTGAATGAACAAAATCTGGTACAGTGGAATGTTACTCAGCCATGAAAATGATGAGTGCTTATCATTTCAGCATCCGGATGGAACTAGGAGTTATTGTTTTAATGTAGAATTAGCCAAGCAAAGTGTCACATGATTTCTTACATATTGAGAATCTGAAAAGTTTGATTTTACAAAGTTTAGAGATAGAGGCTTTGAAAGGGAGAAGGAAGGGAAAAACGGGGTGAGATTTATTCTTGGATGCTGAGTTCTTGGTACCTAAATTGACTAAGGACCTTCAGTGTTATGCTTAGTAGAGGAATTTTAGGTCACGATGATAAACTGTGTGTTGCTCAATAAACAACAAGAAAGCTAGAAGCAAGAATTTTTTGGAATGTTTTCACCATAAAATTAACATTGGAAATTTCAGGAGATAAATGTATTAAACCTGACTGTGCATTATACAATGTGTGCCTATATCAGAACAGTAAGTGATACCCGAAATGTATGTGCAATTGTATGTGTCAGTTTAAAGTAAGCAGCCAAAACAGAACTCTGCTTTCTTGCTCTGAAAATGTTCTCTGTGGACTGTGGCTTCCACCATGTAATTCCTCTCACCTTTTGTGTCCTTCCTTAAAATGGGAGTAAGAAGCTGAACAGTATAACTTTGCATGTCTGAAATACGTCCCTTTGGTTTCTAAGAGCTGGTTGTGTGGTGTGTTAAGAATCAGTGTGAGTGGGGGCCCGGCGCGGTGGCGCAAGTGGTTAAAGGTCCTCGCCTTGCACGCCCGGGATCCCATATGGGCGCCGGTTCTATCCCGGCAGCACCGCTTCCCTTCCAGCTCCCTGCCTGTGGCCTGGGAAAGCAGTCGAGGACGGCCCAAAGCCTTGGGACCCTGCACCCGCGTGGGAGACCCGGAAGAGGCTCCTGGCTTCGGATCGGCATAGTATCGGCCCGTTGCGCTCACTTGGGGAGTGAATCATCGGATGGAAGATCTTCCTCTCTGTCTCTCCTCTCTGTATATCCGCCTTTCCAATGAAAAAATAATAAAAATAAATCTTTAAAAAAAAAAAAAAGAATCAGTGTGAGTGTACATACTGCTCTCCGCCATTCTTTGAAGAGACATATCTTCTGCCTCAGTCTCCTTGAGTGCTTTGATTCATTAACAGGCGGAAGAGTTAATCATCACGCCCCACCTTGTATGTTATTAGAATACATACTGCTTTTGAGTGAACTTGGCAACCTTTTTGCAAAGTCTTGGAACCCTCTTTTTCCTTGGAGTTTATATCTATTTTTGTTCTTCCTCGTAGGTTGGGATAGTTCTTCACTATTCCACCCTGGCCACAGTGCTTTGGGTCGGGGTGACAGCTCGAAATATCTATAAGCAAGTTACTAGAAAAGCAAAGAGATGCCAGGACCCTGATGAACCACCGCCTCCACCAAGGCCAATGCTCAGGTAGGTCATTGCTGTAACATCTTGAATGTAGTTGTCATCAAATGTAAGTGTTTTTTTAAGTGCATTTTGGGAACTATAAGAATGGACATAGAAAACGGGCACCCTGGTTTGAGCTGCAGGTCACGTTCCCTCCCATCATTTGCCCTTGGCTGTTGTGTTATTGGTTCTCCACCTCTAAAGCAGGGGAGAGTGCACCTCATGGAGTTGTCACAAGGAATGAATGTGTTACTGTGAACATCACTTAAATGTTTCTGGCCACTAAAGAGGTGCAAAGAAAATTTTAACTGTCATTGCTTTAGGTCATGTGTTAGAGATTTCCATCCACTCAAGCATGTATCCATTTGATTATTTCCTACAAAAAAAGCATTGTTGAGTTGGAGTCACATCTTCTCTACTGCCGGAGTCCAGCTCCAGCTGAGTTCGGAGCTCGGGAAGGGTGGTGCGTGAAGTAGGCGTAGAAAGAAGAGACGGACCACTACAATTCCAACATCATTGTGGACCCCGCGAGAAAGCTGTCCGCTTTATTTATACAGAAGCAGTACACAGTCTTTTTTAGGGCATTTTGACATGGCTTCAAGGGGGGCACAATTTACAACTGCTTGAGAGGCGAGTGAGGGAGGACCCCACATTCTCTGCTTATCTCGGCTTGCCAGCCCCTACTTACTTCCCTCAAGTCTGGGTCCCATCCTTGGCGCTGCCTGTGACAACCAGACCCCTACCTTGAATTATGCATGGAAAAAAGGCTGAGACCTTGGTTTGTGGGGATTAGGGTATTGGCACCAAAGGTCATTAGGTCTGCAGGCCCACACAGTTTGCTAACTAAGCAAGAGTTACAACGACGGAAGGAACTGCAATTAGCAATGAGCCATGTTTACTCCATTTAGGTTTCTGCTCTACAATGGGCAAGTAAATGTTTCCAAAGATAACTCTACAGATAGTTTCACCTTAAGACAGGACATTATCCATTCTGATGTTGCAGCTAACATTTTCTCAGTAGACGACACATCTTATTCAGTAATACATTCCTACTACAATTCTTATTCTATAACTTATCCATCACTTAATGAGAGAAATACATTAAAAGAGAAGAAATATAAAAATCTAAGACAAAAGTTTCAAACAATAATCAAAAGTATACATGAAGTTAGTAAAGTCACCCTATATTTCCTCTAATTAAAAAATTATGAAGGCAGCCAAAGCAACTACATTTACTATGTTCTAAAGAGTTGAGAGTTGCAAGGACAGGCTAACCTTTAAGGTCACAGTAGGTATATTTTGCCATAGCAGGATAGCCTTTAGGGTCACAGTAACTATACTTTGCCATAGCAGGATGGCCTTTTGGGGTCACAGTAATTATAACAGGATAACCTTTAGGGTCCCAGTAACAGGATAGCTATATTTTTTGTCATAGCAATTTCAACCCATACTCCCATCACTTCCATTAGTTTGTGAAACTCTTATCAGGCCATTTCCCAGAAAGCATGCTAAATATTTGGGCCAGATCTCAGAGCAATGGTTAGGCACACAATAAGGTGTCTGGAAACAGCATGGGCTTAATTGTACTCCTATGCGTAGTTAAAGGCCCACTCACCAAGTCATTATCAGTAACATTAACTTTTAAGCTCATGTTGGTTGTAAAAGCCATCTTACAGGGGCAAACTATGCCTAATAGATTGCAGAATTCTTAGTGGGGTGGTTGAGTGTCCATGCAAACAGGGGGTGAGACTGCGTCAAGGTGGTCAGAGAGAAATCCGCCGGGCCCTGCCAAACAGCTGTAAGCTCCCCCAGGCCCTGCCAAGCAGGGGAGCTGTTCTCTTCACACCTTCGTGTCATCCATACCTACTGCACAGACCCCAGCACTCTACCTGTTGTAACAAAAATTGTATGGGTATATTAGTTTACTGCAAGAATACAGAGCTAGCAATGTTGTTTGTCTGTTGATTTCCTCGGACTGGCACAGGATTGCCTGGCCCTTGGCATGTATACTGTGTAGGGGAAGGACTGATGAAGGCCTAGTGTTAGGGTTTCAGGGATTATGAATTCAAGTGCTATTAACTTGGGAGGGATGCTGAGCTCTTAGGAAATGCTGAGGCACTGTCCTGGACCTTGCTTTGTGTTGCTGCAAGTGGTGGGATTGCAGGCCAAATAGAGGGACAAGCGGAGGGCACTGAGAAGTCGACAGCATCTAGGAGGTGTGGTGCAGAGAATCCAGAATTCAGGTTGGAAGCCGATCTGGGGGCTTTGTGAGCACATTAAAATGTGAGTGCCTCCAAAGGCTTAACTAAGAGAGTAACCTGACACGGTGTCCCGTTAGAAGGAAGGCCAGGGCAATAGGATGCGACGGAAGGAATTCTCCAGGAGAGTCAGCAGTCCTGTGGTAACTGAAGCCAGATGGCTGACATGGGGAGGAGGGATGGAAACACAGTTTTTTCCAGGATCCAAGTCCAGGTTGAATGTGCAGTAGGAAGAAAAGTTTGCAGATAGCTGCAGCTTTCTCCATATAGCTGGGATGCTTCTGTAGATAAAACTTTGTCGATTTAGAAAACACTACAGAGAAAACCCACATGGCTGAGGAAGGCAATGGGCTTCTTCACTCTAAAGCTGCTGGATCAAGATGCCATCCTGATTTTACTATCTCTCAGCTGGAGTCAGAAACACGGGGCTGCAATAAGCAGGCTTGGCTGAACATTGCCTGTTAACTAATAAGTCAGGCACCCTGACTTTAGACTGGAGTTTCTATTGTAATGGGCTGACTTTCCAGTTTGGTGGCATCTTAAAAAGGCATTTGCTCCTAAAAAGGAATTCAGTTCTAGCCAGCTGTTCTTACTCAGTGGCTCGGCTTTACTGTGCAAGTCCACAGGGTGGCAGAAGCAGACCAGCTTTCTTCAGCTTGGAAACTTGGAAACTTGGAAACTTCACAGAAGACAAAGCAAAAAGCAAGTTATTGCTAAAAATAAAAACATGCAGCCTGTGAGAGATAATTCTCCATGTGTTTTTGAAATAAAAATAATCGTCTTCCCAGGTTTGAATTCAAGAGATTAGTATGTGATAACTCTGGAACAGAACATGCCAAGGCAAACATTGATTTCTGTTATTCCTCCTAGGTTTTACCTGATTGGTGGTGGCATCCCCATCATAGTTTGTGGCATAACAGCAGCAGCTAACATCAAGAATTATGGCAGTCGACCAAATGCGCCCTAGTGAGTACTGTGCATTTTCTGTGCACCCGGCCCTGTTGATCCACTCTAGGTGGTCGTGGTTGTGGGAATCATCTAGATGCTTAGTGTCTGAACTTGCGCGCTGTGTTCTTTCCTAGCTGCTGGATGGCGTGGGAGCCTTCCTTGGGAGCCTTCTATGGACCGGCCAGCTTCATCACCTTCGTAAACTGTATGTACTTTCTGAGCATATTTATTCAGTTGAAGAGGCATCCTGAGCGCAAATACGAGCTTAAGGAGCCCGCCGAGGAGCAGCAGAGACTGGCGGCCAATGAGAATGGTGAAGTAAATCATCAGGACGCTATGTCGCTGTCTCTGATCTCTACCTCGGCGCTAGAGAATGAGCATAGCTTCCATTCTCAGCTTCTGGGGGTCAGCCTCACTCTGCTCTTGTACGTCGCTTTGTGGATGTTCGGGGCCTTGGCCGTGTCTCTGTATTACCCTTTGGATTTGGTTTTCAGCTTCTTCTTTGGAGCCACCTGTTTAAGCTTCAGTGCGTTCATTATGGTTCACCATTGTGTGAACAGGGAGGACGTGAGACTCGCGTGGGTCATGACGTGCTGCCCAGGACGCAGCTCCTACTCGGTACAAGTCAATGTGCAGCCCCCCAGCACCAGTGGGCCCCACGGAGAGGTACCGAAATGCATCAACAGCAGTGCAGAGTCTTCGTGCACGAACAAAAGTGCATCGAGCTTCAAAAATTCCTCCCAGGGCTGCAAATTAACCAACCTGCAGGCTGCTGCAGCGCAGTGCCATACCAATCCTTTGCCTTTGAACTCCACGCCTCAACTTGATAATAGTCTCACAGAACATTCGATGGACAATGATATTAAAATGCACGTGGCACCTGTAGATGTTCAGTTTCGAACAAACGCGCACCCTGGCCGCCACCATAAGAACCGAAGTAAGGGACACCGGGCCAGCCGCCTTACGGTGCTGCGAGAGTATGCCTATGATGTGCCAACGAGTGTGGAGGGCAGTGTGCAGAACGGCTTGCCTAGAAGTCGCACAGGCAACAGCGAAGGGCATGCAAGGAGCCGAAGAGCATATCTAGCCTACCGAGAGAGACAGTACAACCCACCCCAACCAGACAGCAGTGACGCGGGCAGCACGCTTCCCAAAAGTGGCAGGAATTTTGAGAAGCCTATTTCAACGAGTAGCAAAAAAGATGCATTGAGGAAACCCACTGGAGTTGAACTAGAAAGTCAACAGAAGTCCTATGGCCTCAACTTGGCCATTCAGAATGGACCAACGAAAAACAGTGGACAGGATGGGCCCTCCCATGGAGCTGACAGTTCAGGCAATGTCAGGACTGGGTTGTGGAAACATGAGACTACTGTGTGAGTGCTGCTGGCTTCTGGCTCAGACTCTGATGGTCACATTCCTGTAAGCTATGGAGATTTGAAAGTAAACGGTTTACAGCCACCTTAGGATTCTAGTCCATTTTGAATCTTCTTCCACATTTTGGATTTCATTTGTTTTGTATCCCCCAACTTGTAGCCTTGTGTTCTTTTTCGGTAGGAAATTTGCAGAAAACCTTTCAAAGACTTGTTTTAGTTATCAAAGCACCAGTAGGACGTTTTGAGACTGAAATGTAATTGCTGGGAATCTGTGATAGCTTCTTATCATTTCAGGTTTGTATTTAATAAAATAAATAGGTGTTGCTCATTGTCTCTTTTGTGTTTTTGTATTTTACAAGATAAGCATTTATTCCTGTTTTAATGAAGTTTATGCATTGAAATATTTTAATGATTGTGCCTAAGCAAGTTAGCAACTGCATTACGTTGTTCATGCTGCTGACATGGCACCGTGGAAGCACTTTTTAAAATGTTTGTGAATCATGGAGTTAAAAGGTAAGTTAATTTTAATGTGAACATTTTTGAAATTAGTGCATAGTTTTCCTGTTTTCTGTGTTAATTTTCCAACAAGGTGTGGAAGACCTCTTATAAGACAAAGTGATAATTGGATTGATATATTTTATAAATATAATTTTAAATAGTACAGGATTTTGAAAAGTTGTCACAGAGTATTTTTCAAAATGGAAATGCCTGAAAGTCTTTTCTGAATTGTATACTTTCCCCTTTCACCATGTTTGTGAGTTTTCACTAGGATTTTATAGGAGTTTTATTTTCTTACTCATCCTTTTTGGTGTATGTGGAGGGGTAGTCTGGGCAAAATGAGCTCTTTGTTTGCCAACAGAAGGCAGATTAAGAGCTGCCATGTTTATTCATTCTGGGTTGCACCAGTTTTGCTGCTTTGCTGGCTTTCATCTTGGTCGTTATGTCTTTGTTAAAGTACTGAGCTCTAAATTGTATTGCTAAGGTAAAAGCGGATCTGATCGTGGTGTCGGCACTGGTCAGCCATGTACCACCTTCCTGTCTCTCCTCGGCCCTGTCTCTCACAGGCGTCCCCTGTTTCTGGTCTTCTTTGCAAGGTAACACTTGAAAAATTGGCACGGCTTATATTAATTTCGAGCAGAGCTAAAAGCCCGAATCAAATCAGGTTCAAAAGTACATATTCAAGATGTGCTAAAAGAGGCACAGTTTAGCTTGATAAACTTCAAGTCCTGAGGGATTAACGGCTGATTTACACAGAGCTGGTCTTAGATCCATGCTAAAATGTTGAGAGGGCGTGTTCACTTCTCATTAGGGTACTGCAATAGAGATGGCTACTTGGCTTTACAACAATAAAACAGAGCTCTCTTGAAGCCATTTTTAAGGTAGCAGGTATATGCAGTTTGGGTAGTGGAAATGTGGTAACCAATGGCTAGATTGGCTAGTTGTGCATTTAATACACTTCCCACTCCAACACTTTCTGGAAAACGATGCAAGATGGAGTTTGGAAAGCATTACATAATAGGATATGAACCAGATAATTCTTCTGTCTTTGTGACTATTTTTATTTCCCTTTGTCACTGTGCAGTATGTTTCCCACTGCTTCATGCATTGAGCAACCCTCAAACCACAGGCAGAGGGAGAACTTTGTTCTTTTCTCTGCCTCAGCACATGAAGTGAGGAGTTTCCTTTCTTGAAGTTATTCTCCGGTCAGTAAACATTTTATTCAAACATAAAAAGAACTCCATTTAGGTAACAGGAACAGTATGAACCAGAAAAGGGAAAGGATTAGGGGAAAAAAAAAGAACACGTGAAGAAAATGGATATTTCATTAAAAATGCAAAGTGCTGTCTGATTTTGTGCAGTGTTTGTTGTTGATAGAATTAAATGTGATGTAGGATCTGCATTGGGCGTTTATTCTCCTACTTTGGTCCTTGCAATTTGCAGCTTGTTGGTGAAGTCGTCTGCTTTTTAGAAAATTGTGAACTGTTCACAGATGTCTGTTTTTTAGAGCTAAGGGTATTCTTTTTCTTCATTTGGAAGATTGGAAGCTGGGCCTCAGAGTTTCCTGTCTTTGGGTTTGCAGCACATTGCAGCGCATCCAGGACTAGGGCTGTGTTGATGACCGCATTCCAGTGCTTCACTGGTGCTTGGTGTTACAGTTTTCTTGAACTTGACTCTGATCTGGTTATTTTGAAATTTAGTTTCATAAGAAGGTACAACTCTAACTGGTTGAATTCCAACCAGAAAACTGCACGACTTAGTTCTTTCATTCCAAGAGAATGATTTTTTGAACTCACACCTGCTGTATTAATATATAACATGTATTACATATAATGTACATTATATTCTTGCCTTTTTTAGGTTGTATTAGAAAATTAGGTTATATTTTCTAGTTGATATGTAGATATGTATTAAAATTTCACATCATTAGCAGATTGCAACTGATTAGTGAATCACGATTTTTTGAATTTACATGCAGCAATGTAGCTACTTCTGAGTTCAGTCTATTGTTATAAATGTGATGGCAGTTTACCTGTGAATCCTGATTGGGCGGTGTGGATTGAGCTCATAGAGAAAAGGTGCAATACACTTTAATTTTTGGACACTGAATTTAGTATGCCCAAACTGCAGTTAGTTGAAAATATAAAGCATAGAGAAGTAAACTGCTAGTACTTGATACAAGGATTAAGCCATATCTTCACAGAAGGTTCAGAATGCAGGAGCAGCCCAAATTTAGAATAAAATGCATTGTTTTTCTGTTCAGATTTCGGTGATCATCTGTAATATTGGAGACTTCTGTGTTTTTACATTTTATATGCACTGGTTGAAGCAACTGCTAATTCAAAGCATTACTTTTCAAATTACATGCATTATGGGTATGCATTTAATTTTTTTTCATTACCATATCCTAAACAATACAGTTATCAGCTATTTACATAGCACTTACATTGTATCAGATATTGCAGGTAATTTAAAATGTAGGGATCATGTGCCTAGATTATCTGCAATACCATGCCTTTTTTAACAGTCATTGTTTAAAATTATTCTTTTTTTTATTATATTTTGACAATCTTTACATAGTTAACTAGGGTAAAAAGGTTCAAGGGCTACAGGAAAGTGGGTAAGACTATTATTTTTTTCCAGATTGTTTTCTTCATCTTTAAAGGGGGGGGGGGTATTAAGGGAGAAGGCCCACCCAATTTCCCACCCTCCCCAGGTCCCGGATGTAGGGCATGCTCTGAGGTTCTTGCTCAAGCGTTTTGATGTTTCAACAGTTATGAATTGCTGCCAATCTTGCCACTCTAAGCACTATGAGGTCTTTGAAGAATCCACTGATTGACATAGTCCATCATAGAGTCTCTGTCCTGTATTTCGCTGCCAACATATAGCTGAGATGGTTGGTTGACCTGCTCTGTCTTCTCTCTTTTCTTGGTTAGGGTTCTGAGTCCAGCATTTTGATTGGGGAGATCTCCACAGAAACTACGTCTGAGGTGTTCTCAAACCAGATTCTTGTATGTACTAGCAAGTACAGGGCCCGGCACAGTCCATCGCCCCGATCAGCTGGTAGTTGCAATTGCTGGGTTGGTTCTGTTTTCACTCCCAACTTCCACTCAACCAATGGGTGTTGCAGTCCAGCCTGGTTCTGCCCAGCACATACTCGGCCCTCACATAAACCAGTGGGAGCTGCAGCCTGGTGAGAGTAGCCTGCAATAATCCCCACCAGGCCCACCCCTGCAATACGGAATGCCAAGGTGAGGTTGCCTGTACCGAAAGGGACCGCAGTGCCCAACCAGCAAGCTGAGAACAAGGAAGGGAGGGGGCAGAGCCAGCGGGGAATAAGGGCGGGTTCCTTTGCTGGACAGCTACTCCCATTGGAGAGCGTGGGCTGGGATGGGGGCAGACCAGACTAGGCAGGGCTACAGCACTACGCCTCATGTGGACTAGATCAGGGAAAGGCCAGGCTGGACTGATTGTTCCTACTGGTGCAAACAAAATTAGAGTGGGAGAGGGTTGTTTGGGCTGAGCCACAGCATCAGCTGACAGAAGCTGCACTGGGGACTAGTTCTGTCAAGTCAAACTACAGAACTATCTGGAGAGTGCATAATCTGAGAGTGGGAGAGGCCTGGGAGGGAATTAGTGGGCTCCTCCCTCTTGGGTTACCACTTCCATGGGAGGGCATAAAACTAGGACAGCGGCTGGGATGGAATGGGGTGTGGGACAGACTGGACTACTGCTAAAATTATTATTTTCTATGATGTGTTTTTTGTGTGTGTAGGGTTTCTCCCCCTGCCTTCTTTTTGTCCTTCCCCATTTTCCCTTTCTATCATTTTTCCTATATTATTACAGTAGTATATATATAAAATTTATTTTTAAGGTAGAGTAACAGAAGAGAGGAGAGACAGAGAGAAATTTTTGTCTGCAGGTTCATTGTCCTTGGGGCTGTCCAAAGCCAGGAGCTCCCAGGTCTCCCACCTGGGTGCAGGAGCCAAGGACCTGGGCCCCCTTCCTTATCCTCCTTTGGAAGAGGAGCCACTGGGGCTTGAACTGGCACTCATAGGGCTTAGCCAACTACGACATGGTGCTGGCCCCCACTACACCATTTTAAACAGAGATTGTGGTTTCAGGATTATGTTGTCTCCAGTGCCCTTGTCTGGGAGGTGTTTGGATTATTTTCTTGAGTCAGTCTGTCACTTCTAAATCTTGTTTGTCATATTTTCCTTAATATTTCTATTTATGCTGTCATTTGCCTCACAACCCAAGTTTTTACCTTTTTTTTTTTTTGTTTTGATTTTTGAAGAACATCTGGCTGCTTTCATGCAGCCTAAAGTGTACTGAAAAGCTCTTGCTATTTTCTGAAATTATTTTTATTTTTTCCTTATTTGACACCAATAAAAATTGCTAAATTTAATTCCGCAAGATAAAAATTCTTGAGGGTTTGGTGCAATGGCTCAGTAGCTAAATCCTCACCTTGCACTCACCGGGATCCCATGTGGGCACCGATTCATGTTGTGGCAGCTCCACTTCCCATCCAGCTTCCTGCTTGTGGCCTTGGAAAGCAGTGGACGAGGGCCCAAAGTTTTGGAATCCTGCACCTGTGAGGAAGACTGAAAGAAGCTCCTGGCTCCTGGCTCCGGATCTGTTCTGCTCTGGACATAGCAGCCACTTGCGTGCGGAGTGAACCAGTGGATGGGAGAGCTTTCTCTCTGTAAATCTGCCTTCCCAAGGAAAGATCAATATATCTTTAAGAAAACATCTTGAATATGCTCCTATTTCACACTCTGTCTCAGCGTAAGGAGATATTGGTCTATAAGTGCAAAACA